TCAGGACTAGGCCAGGATTAGCCCAAGACTAGGCCAGAGCTAGACCACAGCTAGACCAGGACTAGGCCAGGATGAGACCAAGACTAAACAAGGATTAAACCGGGACTAGGTCAGGATTAGACCATGGCTAGGCTAGGATTACATCAGGACTAGGCCAGGATTAGCCCAAGACTAGACCAGAGCTAGACCAGAGCGACACCAGGACTAGGCCAGGATGAGACCAAGACTAAAACTAGGATTAAACAAGGACTAGGTCAGGATTAGACCAAGACTAGGCCAGAAATAGACCAGAGCTACACCAGGACTAGGCCAGGATTAGACCAAGACTAAGCAAAAGTTAGACCAGGGCTAGGCTAGTGCTAGACCAGAGCTACACCAAGACTAGGCCAGGATTTGTCTAAGAATAGACCAGAAATAGACCAGTACTAGAAGAGCTAGACCAGAGCTACAACAGGACTAGGCCAGGATTTGACCAAAACCAGGCTAGGATTAGACCAGGACTAGGCCAAGATTAGACCAAAACCAGGCTAGGATTAGACCAAAACCAGGCTAGGATTAGACCAAAACCAGGCTAGGATTAGGCCAGGACTTGGCCAGGATTAGGCTAAGAATAGACCAGGATTAGGCCAGGACTAGGACATAGCTAGACCAGAGCTACATCAGGACTAGGCCAGGATTAGAGTTAGGCTGAACTAAACCCTGATCCAGAACCTAACTCTAGTCCCAGAACCTAACTCCAGACGCTGGACCTAACCCTGACCCCAAATTGATCCCTACAAAAACCACAGTAGGTCTAGACCACGAGTCCAGACAAAGTAGATTATTAAAAAAAAAAAAAAAAAAACGATCCAATTGAAACAAAAGCAAACTTTCATAAACATTTTGGCTCCACCTCTCTTGGAGGGCGATGTGTTTATCAGGAATAATCATTTGTAAGTGAGTGGTTTTGTAAGTGTTTTAATTGGACATTAATTTCCCTCAGAAAATCAAAACAAAAATATTTAAATGTTTACTTTGGCTGAGTCGCGGTTCGCCCGCCGTGTTTCATCACCCATGTCAAATCCTGCGGTCTGAGGTATAAAAACATTTCTGACAGTTTTCTGACACTCAAGATGAAACCTACTTCTGTTCACTATTCGAACTATTTGTAATTAAAAACCTGATGTGTGTGTCAGCCCGCGGGTTCAGAACCACAGTTGGGCGTGTCGGACCCGAACCGATGTCAGCACACGCCTCAGAGACAACGTTACGATCAAAACAAACAGCTACTAAAGAGCCTAAAGGTGAAAAGGCAGTTCTGTTTGTGCATCTGTCTGTTAACAAAATATCCCCGGAACCATTGCATGGTTTTATAAAACTCTCAAAGTAACGACTGAACAAACATTTAAAACTTAACTTCTAGTGTAAACCTGATTTAAGATGGCTGCCACAGCTGAGTAAATACAAAAAAGGTTACAACATCGTGAGCCAAAACTTGCGAGTACGAGCACATTGATTTTTATGTTTTCTATTGTTCTAAGAATTGTTGTTTGTGGCACGTGACAAAACGTAATAAAAAATTGTACATCTTTACAATTTTCACTTAGGGACGTCTCATTGTTGTCCTGGTGCAATGCATTCTGGGGTGATGACATACATCAATTGCAGTGGAGACTAAAAGACAAGGAGTCAAGGCTAAAAAGGCATAATGTTTGACAATAAAATAAAATTTTGCATTATTCCTTAGGCACAATATATCAGTCGAAAAAAATCTAACGTGATCAACTTGTGATGTTTAGTATGTTAGCTCTGGAGCCAACGCCATAAATAATTAGCTCTGGAGCTAACGCCATTAGTGCTGGAGCTAAAACCATTCATAACAGTTCTGGAGTTGACGTGAAACGTAAAAGGTTAAATCTGTCCCTCCTCCATCCACTGGGCAGCACCTGACTGATGTCACGCGTGTGTGCTCGTGGGGATTAATGTGTGGTTGTGTGCTAAGCTGAGCAGTCAGTATCCTATCTGCAGCAGGTCGCTTGAGTCACCTCTGTTTTGTATTAATCTGTGGTCCGGGTGTGAAAAAGTTTGGCTTTACATTCACTCCAGAACCCGCGACTCCAATCAGGACAAGCGGCAGATGATGGATGGATAATATATAAAGTGTAACTCTTCTCATCTATCTGAGGGCATGTTCTGATGGTTGTGGCGAGCAGCTCGTGACGACGGACAGCGGAGCTCTGTGCAGCATCAGCAGCTCCTCTGCCCGACTCGCTCCTCTTCATCGACCAGTCTTCATCATTTTCAGCTGCAGGCTGACTCGTTTCTACATTTTTCTCTCTTGTCCAAATTAAAGGGCTGAATGTTGGATAATGTCCAAAACTAACCTTCACGCTGGACGGAGCTCGCACCGGAGCAATTTGTCTACGTCGTTTAGCAACATGAAGACGCTCATGTGACTTACATTTTTAAATATTATAAAAACTCAACAGCATTGTTTATCAAATATTTATAGTTCCAACTAGTTGGAGGAATATTAGACGTTTTGGTAAATTTGACTTCAGTCAAGTGAAAATCAGCGCTGCTGCAATAAAAAGATTTTATTTTTAATAACCATTTTCCGGTGGTTCAGATCAGAGTTTGCTGCATGATGCAAAATTTTTTTTTTCATTATGTAGCATCGACACTCAGCCCCGTGTGAACGTCTTCAAACAGGAGTCGTGTTTCGTTCGCATCCAGAAACGTGTCTTACGTGTCTGTCGGACTCCCTGCAGGACAGACGGAGGACAGAGCAGCCATTGTTCAACAGATCGGTGATTTCTGCAGCTCTCACAGCTGCCAACAGATTTACTGATAACGATGTTGTGGAAACAATTTTAACAAGGAAGTTCTGCAGGAGGAGGGGGACTCTGAGGAACAGAACCGGTTTAAGACGAGATTTTTGTACTCGTCTGCAGCGTCGTCTCCACTCAAGACTCTGTCCTCCAACAGGACAATTAAAGAGTCGTGACGTGGGGGACGTGCACGAGACGTAAACAATCAACAGGCTGCAGGAGAAACGTGTTGAAAGAAGCCTGACCCACTTTAAACCTGAAGCTTAGTGGCTCAGTCATTTTAATGAACATACTTGGATCTCTGAGCAATTATTTAATGTATTTATGTTAAAACTGTGGCTGTGCGGGTTATCATGAGCAGTCAGTATCCTACCTGCAGTAGGTCGCTTGAGTCACCTCTATGTTGAGTTACCTCTTAATCAGATTGTCAAACTGTGCAGAATGTCTAACAGTTTGATAAATATTATTTAAAATAACGCTGTGGATCTGTGACTGACAGCAAGTCTGAGCTTGCAGCTGAAGGTTTGATGGCTCAGAAACGATCAGAAGCAATATAAATGAAAAAAAAAAACACAGAACAGCATCCTGTCATCCAAATTAATCCCTACAATCCTGACTAATCTGGTTGTTTTATTAGGAGCAATTATAAAGAACAATTCATTAAAACTTTTAGCTGAAACAAATAAAAAGTAGCGGTTTGTTTATCATTAATCAGCTGCAGCTGAGGACTTAAAAAAATTAATTAAATAAATAAAAAACCTCTTTGGGTCGTCCACCTAGCTGCCTGTTTGTTAAACCATCGTGTCTCCATCATGGCAGAAACACGCCAACGTAATAAACATGGTAAACACATGCCGAGGGAGAGGCTTAGTCAACCAGGACATGCAAAATAAAATTGATTAGTCTAATCAAAAACAAATGGACTTTTATTTTTTAGGGGACTAAACAGAAGTCCTGTTGTTGTGTTTTTAAAATAAAAAAAGATGGTAAATGCAATTTTGTAACAGTTTCACGTTTTCTTACGTTAAAACAAGCTGAACTGAAAAACAAAAAAAATGAAGGAAAAATAAACAGACCTATGTGTTTTATTGTATTTGCATTATGAAAGACAAAAAGGGGCGGAGCCTGAAGCTTGGTCCTACCTGGGGGCTCGGCGGTGGACAGGCTGGCTGCAGAGATGCAGACAGGCATGAGGACGAGGAGCCGAAGCAAGCGCCGCACAGCCGTCATCCCGCCCGTCCTCCTGGACGAGGACGGGAGACGCAGAGCAGCGAGGCCCGACTCAAACACCATCCTCCGACCACATGCTGTCCAGGAAGACGAGGTCCAACAACTCACAGCAGCACGCCTGAAAGACATGAGGACGAATCAAGACATTTAGCCAAACAAGACTCAAAACTTTAGATGTTCTTTGAGAAGATAAATAAATAAATAAATAAAAACAGGAATCAAAACTCCTTAAAGCAGACGTAGGAAACGTATGGCCTGAGGGCCAAATGTGGCCTTGGACAATCGTCATTCTGCCCCATATCATTAACAGAAACAGCAACAACTACTGAATACATTGATGAAAACCTGTTATGTATTTATTTATTGTTATTGTTTGAAGAACCAAACTAAACTTTAAAGATTCAAAAAATAAAACTTGCATATCTGTTTGGTTTTTTTTGCGCATTGAAGCGAACAATTTTTTCATCAAAAGAGCCAATTTACAGAAAATCTGTCTTATATTCCTAACGAGCGTTTGGGAGACACTTTTGTTTATTTTTATTTAAAATCAGACAAGCTAACGATGCTACAAGAAGAAGCTGAACAACAAGTCTTCCACATTATCAGTCTCATCAAAAATGTATTTTTCTATACTACGCGTCTCTTCAACGGCTTTACATATCCTGATTTGGACCTCTGGGGGAAAAATCTGTTCCCTACTTCTGCCTTAAAGGAATGCATTGCACCCATCACCTCAGAGTACGTGCTCAGGAGGACTCTCAGCTACTACCACACCAGATTTAAGCTCATTATCCGTTAAACTAACCAAGTTAGAGCCATCTTTGAGTCGGCCATCTTGAATCAAGCTGATTACTGAGCTCAGTCATAAATCTCTGGGAGTTTTCTTCGGTGGGTTCATGATATATTTTGCTAACAGACAAAGGTAGTTAAGTATCAATGCCACCAGTGAACGCAGCAGCAGCAGGATTAATTAAGTTTTTTTTTTTTTTTTTAAACCCATCAGTCGTTTTGTTTTCTGCTTCATCCGTCAAACCTCCTGCTCCTCTTTCAGGATGAGCACGACTTCGGCTGCTGGACAGAGATGATGAGCTTCAGAAGAGTCAAAACGTGCGCCGTCTTTCAGAGCGCACTGTAATATCTGAGAAAAACCCATGAGGCGGAACAAAGAGGAACGAGCCTGCTCAGCCCGAACTGAGGCTTATCAGCCGAAGCCACTTAGTAAGAATTGGTGTTCTGAGAGCGTTCTGCAGGAAGTTCTCCTCCCTGAGCTCATCGTGACACCTGCATGTTGTAGCTGCAGGTTTCTACAAGAACCTGAAACGCTCCAGACACCAACCTCTGTTTTGACAAAAACGCACAGCTAAAACAGCTAAAAGATAAAAGAAACAAGATGCTGAGAGCTGAATGACTGAAAGGAAGCAGGACATCAGCTAAAAACAAAAAAACAAAAGTGGCTAAAGTATAGAAGCAAAAAAACAGTATCTAAAAGCAGAACAGTAGCTGAAAATAGTTCAGCAAATGCTAAAATTAGCATAACAGATGATAAAGCTGAAAATAGAAGAGTAGGAAAATTTGATAAAAACCTATGATCCTGTTAGCAAAAATTGAGCTGAAATTAGTAAAAACAGTTTCTAATGGTACTAAAAACAAAGCAGCTAAAATTAGCAAAATGTGTGAAAATTAGCTAAGTTAGCTTAAAACGAGCTAAAGCTGAAATAAGCTAAACAGATTAGAAGTATAAAATTTGCACAACAGATGCTAGTATTAGCTAAATTGATGTTAAAATAAACAACCAGATGCTAATGATACAATTTTAAAAAAAGAGTAACTAAAAATAAAATAAAGTCTAAAAATAGCAAAACCTTTCCAAAGCTAAATTTGTGTAGCCAGAGGCTTAAACTAGCCAAACAATTGCCAAATAATGAAGAAGCAGGTAAAGACAATGGATGGATGGACAGCAGTTAAAATGAGAACAGTAGCTAAACATCAGATAAAGTGGTGCAAAAGCTAAAATAGTTAAAGAGTTAGACTCCCCTCTCACAGCCTGCGTCCTCAGATGGTCCAGATCTCGTCCCACCTGAGGACGGCGTCTCAGTGGGACACACCAAGGTTAAAACTGTTCTGACAGAGGCCAACATCCAACATGATCCAGTCTCTCTTCCCTTCCCTCGGCTGCCATTACAGCCTCAGCTAATACATTTAATCCCCCTTTCCCCTCCAAATGACAGCAGACCAGGCCCTGCTGCTGATCCTGCAGACCCTGTGAGGAGCATGTGACCTGACTGATGCTCAATACAGGAGAACCAGGAGGACAGGTTGAACTTAAAGCCCCCTTTAAAGCTCAACTTCACTTTTCACATGCTAAAGCTAAAAGTAGCCAAACAGTAACTTAAATTTGTAAAACTGTTGCTAAAAGTAGCAAAACATATGCTAAAGAAGCACAATTTTTTTTTCTAAAAACAGATGCTACCATTTGCTCAAATTAAAGCTGAAATTGGCTAAACGGTTGCTACTTACATAATTAGCTAAACACAGTATCTAAATCTATCAAAAAGTACTAACTTTAGCTAAAAGATGTAAACTACAAACTATAATTAGTAATGTGCTACATTGTACTAAACAGTAGCTAAAGATCTATGGTGGTGTTCTGTCATTAATCTCTGGGAGTTTTCTTCAGTGGGTTCATGAGATATTTTGCTAACAGACAAAGGTAGTTAAGCATCAATGTCATCAGTGAACACTACAGCAGCAGGATTCATTAAGTTTTGTTTTTGTTGGGGTTTTTTACCCGTTAGTCATTTGTTTTCTGCTCCTCGTTCAGGAGCAGTTTTATCCTGCTACTCAACACATGCAAAGAATAAAAGTAGCAAAAAAAGCAAACCATAGCTAAAAGTAGCAAAACAAATGCTACAAGCAGAAGCCAATAAACAAAACAGAAGTTAGGAGGTAAGCAAATCCTACAATGAGCAAAACAGGAGCTTAAAATATTCAAGATATAACGTAATTACCGATATATGCGTTAAAAGTAGCAAAATAGAAGCTTAAGTTAGTTAAACACATACTAAAGCTAAAAATGGTGAAACAGATGCTAAAGATAAAATAGGCAAAAAATAAAAATAGTAAAAACTGCAGCTAAAATTAGCAAAACATATGCTAATAGAAGGTTGTAGCTGAAATTGTTAAAACATTTGTTAATGTTACAATGATCCAAACTTAAGGAGAAGCAGGAGAGATTCCAGCTGAAGTTATTCGTTCAGCCTTGGAGCTTTATGATAAAATAGTTCTGCCTGATTGAAGCTCGTATTATTCACAGCTTTGGTTCTGGTTCTGCTTCAAGACGAAACAAAATAATAAAATTTTAAAAAGACTTCTGAACCTGTGAACTTCTCACTGTTTGAATTTACTGAGTCTGTTAGAGGAATGAAGTGTTTGCAGAGTTTTGGTTTTGTTTGGGTCAGAACCGTTGGTTCTTCGTTAATTTTAAATATTATTTTTTGGGTTTTAAACGACCCGCTGCTCTTTAAAGTTCACGACTTCAACGCTCTCATTTTCATACATTCAGCTCCAGATCTCCACGACCCGACACCAGATGAACAGCCACAGTCGGAACCGTTTCCTACTTTTTTCTGACATGACCCAAGACGAAGAACATGGTCCTTGTCTCAACACATCAGACAGAACTGGACTCTGAAACCTGACCCACTCCGGTGTAGAATCCTGTAAATCCTTACTTCAGTTTGAAGAACATTATCAAAACGAACATCTACATCCAGAACCAGGTGCTGGAACTCCTCATAGAAGACTTTTCTGATAAGAGCCTTAAATTGAACCCTCCTGCTGCTTTTAGGTCAAGAAGACTCCAAAGGCTTAACTGGGGCTCCAGTTGACCCAAGGGCAGCAGCAGGGTTAATGAGCCTGTCTGGTAAACACCCCGGCAGTTTTGAAAAACAAAGTGTGTCAAAGTGCCGTGGCTCTGCGGTACCAAACCGTGCGTTTGGTTCTGAACATCCAGACACCAGCAGGTAAATCAATTTAATGGTATAAAACAGGTAAAACTCCGTCTTACCAGGTGCAAAACTTTGATTTATCTCATTTACTTTGACACATTTTTCAGTTTTACATGTAAAATCATTGTGGAGGTGTTGGAGCTGAAATAAACTAAAACCATTCAAACAAAACAAAAAGCAGCAACAACGAACGTGAACTACAGAATGATCACCAGCAGAACTGGACACAGTACAACCAAAACTGAGCTGCTACACAGAGGGGGGAACACCTGCCAGGTGAAAGTGGGCGGAGCTAAAGGAGCTGCGACTGATGGAGAAACAAGCATGAAAGACTCCGATCCTGACAAACAGAACCACTTTAGGATCAGAGCTGCTCCGCATTAGTTTGCGATTTTTATCAACATCGCAATAACTTGTTCCCCCTCTCCCATTCTCACCATCATCTAAAGCAGGTGTGGTCCTGAGTCGAGTCCAGGACTGACCCCATGTCTTGTAAACACATGAACCCAACAAATGGGATTTATTGATAGCTGTTGCATCGATATGGGCAAAAATCGATTTATTGTTGAGCTGGTTCCACACCTGCAGCCCCACCCTCACCAGCTGCTCTGAACCAGTTTTCACTCAGAGTCTCGCGCCTGAAGAAAGGATGCCGAGTCCTGAGGAGAGGAACTCCTTCAACCAGAGGTGAAGGCAACTTCAGCCCCAATCAGAGGGAGGAGCAGCTCGCGCGCAGCCCGGGAAGACGTCACCGCTGCAGCCAGGAGGCTCCATCAGTCAGGGTTGTTTTTAATTTATTTAAAAATATATATCTGCAAATAATAAGGACTTCCCTTTCAACCCCCCCCCCCCCCCCCTCATCGGTAAACTAAAACATTGTTCTTCAGAGGGAATAAAAATCAATTTTAAATCAAACTGAATGTTACTGGAATTCAACACCAGCGAGTTCACACAAAGCCGTTTCCTGCAGAATCCACGTCTTCAGTCACTTTGTGCGTAAAAATCACCAACTGGACAGATTTGACACACGAGTGCGCGCGAGCACACAGTCCGCTCCGGGATCAAAAAGATGAAATAAAAAGAGCCGGACTGGACCAGACCTCCGGCGCAG